CTGATATTTTCGTTTATATTAACAAAGCTTGTCTCATCCCTGTCTTAATTCTAAATTGTGATGATCGCGGTACTGACGGACATTTCCTTTGGCAGTGTCGGGGCCCCCAGAGGAGAGCCACAAAGCCGTGGCACGTGTGCAGTTGTATAGGGGCCCATCAGACCGTAAAAGGAGGAGGGTCCCGGCGTGTGCCTCTGTCGGGGAGGGGCCGGGCGCTCACATTAATGTAATAAACCGCCAGTACATCTGCTAAGCTATCTGCACATCCTCCAACGAAATCCACCAAACCCAGACTCTAAGCCCTCCCACAATCAAATCCACTGGGACTTTGGTTTCATCTGATTGGTCGGGGATGCTGCAACAGGGGGGGGCGAGAACAATAGCATCATTCCGGCATAAAAAGAGTGGAGCTATGCCTTGGAGACGAAAACATTTCAGCAACAGAAGGATCGATACTGGGGAGATAAAGTCCCATAAGCTTCTAGTGTTGCCATATTTTTAACAAACCTGGATACTTGAGACTTTACCCACCTCCCCGAAGTGCCTTTCCACTGTAACTCGCCAAGATGCCCAAAGGATTCCTGGTGAAAAGAAACAAGAAATCTGCACATGTTTCCTACAGGACTCGGACAGATGAAGATGACTACCAGGAGCATCCCATCCCAGCTGCCTTGCCGAGTCACACGGACCCCTCCCCGCCGATGTTCGTGTTGTCTAGTCGGCACCACGCTGCAACATCACCGGATTTCACAGCAGCCGAGGCGCCGGTGCCACGAGTAGAGAAGCCGGCGCAGTTCGGCAACCCAGAGGCGGTGTGCCAAGCCCTCTACAGCCCCACCCGGCCCATCAGCAAGGAGCACGACAGGGGATATTTTGAGCGAAGTTTCAATCTGGGCTCGCCCATTTCTGCCGAGTCATTCCCCACACCTGCCTCCCTCTCTGGCCTGGACCACCTCCTGTACGCACCGGTCGACCTGAAAATCGGCACCAGCAACAGCAGCCGCAGCGGGACCACCAGCAGCCTCCCGCCTCCGAGCAACAGGGTCGGTGCCAAAAGACCCGCAGGAGACGGCCCAGAGCGCAAATCCAAACCCGCGCCCAAGAAACCCAAAGCCATCAGAAAACTCAACTTCGAAGACGAGATGACGACTTCTCCAGTGCTTGGTCTCAAAATCAAAGAGGGGCCGGTGGAGATGAAGCCGAGGGCTCACTCCTCCGGAGGGGAAAAGCCTTTAGGGGAGTTTGTATGTCAGCTGTGCAAAGAGGCGTACGCGGATCCTTTCTCCCTGGCTCAGCACAAGTGCTCTCGAATCGTCAGGGTCGAGTACCGGTGTCCCGAGTGTGACAAGATGTTCAGTTGCCCGGCGAACCTCGCCTCTCACCGCCGCTGGCACAAACCCCGGACCACCGGCGCACCGGCGATGTCCCACGCACAGGTCATCAAACCTGAAACGGCCAAAATGCCTCCTCTAGGCGTCAAGTCAGTCTCTGATGAAGCCAAAGACATGAGTGACAGAGACACCCCGAGTCCAGGTCTGTCCGAGTCGGGCTCTGAAGATGGTTCCTTTGACTGCCAGCTCTGCGGGAAGAGGTTTAAGCGACAGGCATACCTAAGAAAACACATCATGGGACATCAGACCCTGCAAAAGAAAGTGCTGGGGGAGCACGGGTTTCAAACCAGCGACCGCGCGGCAGAACAGCCTCCGGTCTCATCCTCCTTCTCCTCCTCCTCAGCATCATCATCATCATCATCATCATCATCATCATCATCCTCAGAGGAAGCCTCGAACCAAAGCCCTCTCAATCTGAGTCCGGTGGACTGCCTGCTGTGCCCGGTGTGCGGAGAGAGTTTCAACAGCAGGGCCGGCCAGGAGAGACACCTGCGCCTCATGCACTCCTCCCAGGTCTACCCGTGCAAATACTGCCCCGCCACCCTCTACAGCTCGCCAGGGCTCACCAGGCACATAAACAAGTGCCACCCCTCGGAGAACCGGCAGGTGATCCTGCTCCAAATGCCGGTGCGCCCCGCCTGCTGAAAACAACACTTAACTTGTGCCTTTAATGGAGAAAAGTAAAAAAAGAAATTAAAAAAAAAAAAAAGAAGAAAAAAAAAAGGTGGCTTTAGGGTTGGAAAAAGAATCTGTGATGCTCACTGCCATAACTTTAGGCCAATGAAAGGCAGGACGGTTTGATGTTTAAGTGGTGTTTAATGAGGTGTCTTTTCCATGCCAATCAGTGATTGTTGAATGCTTCTCTCTATATTTGACTTACATATAGGCCTATATTGAGATTTTTTTCTCAAATTAGTTTATCATGAAAAAAAAAAAAAAGAGTACAAAGCGTTAGTTTGACTGTTAAAGGGTATTTTTCTAGCACAGCACATGTGTTCAATGATAGCTTCTAGACCTAAGAAATGTCTTTAAAATCTCAGAAATCCTTTCCCCCATCAAAGCCTTTTCAATTCACCGACCGTGACTGCTCTATCATTGTAGCTTTACGCCAGTTTGTGAATGACAAAACAACTTTGTACTGGTGGGGAAAAAAAAAGAGTGAGTGAAACGTTCCCTGTTTAGTAGAACCACAAATGCCTTTAGTATACAGTAAGCCTAGTCCGAGATAGCCTACACATCCAAATCCTGCTGTATAACTGCCTTAAAAAAAAGTCAACAGACTGTTTTAATTTTGAAAGCTGGCACATATTTTTTATTATTATTGAAGATTGTTGCAATATTTTTCATCATATGTTTATTTATTTATTTATTCTAATTATTTTATGTAACTTATTGTTGTGTTTGTTGTGTTTTTTTTTTCTTCTTCTGTGAATCGTTCTGGCAGTTTACATGTCGTATAGCCAAAATGTTTTTTCTGTTTTTTGGGTCAATTTTACAGTATGAGTTGTGATAAATGTCGTGGGTCGGGTTTTAATCTTTAATCTCCACAGCTCTTGTAAAGGAAAAAAAAAAACGTAAAGCTCTTACCTTAGATGCAATCTTTTTTAAGGAGTTATTTTTCTTAAATGTTGGCTTTTATAGCGCTTTGATTGTATGTGTATATCGTTGTTGTCTATCGAAATAAAATATTTTCAAAAGGACATAATGTCTCTAGTTTCACTTCCCCCTCCTGAGTGTTAAAAAGTATCGTGGTCCTATAACAGACTTTGCAACAGAAGTTAACATTGGCTACACCGGAAGAAAGTTGGACAGTAGAGTTTCTTTTTTTTTCCAGCTTGTTGATCCAAGTTTTGATCGTCCATTCCGTTTTCTAAAATTATTTCCTTTTTTGAGAGAATCTTGGCTGATGGTAAATCATTGTCACATGGAACTGAAAAAATGCAGAATATATTTTCTTCGCCTATAAATAAGACCCAGCCTACTTTGAGAAGTTTGAAAAAGACATCTAGTCTTGGTTTCATGACTGAAAATGATTACACAGTGGGCTGATTTAAATAAATAAAACTACATAAAGATATTACTTTGTATCCACCAATAACCTATTACATTTCAAATAAACATGTTTTCCATTAACTACATTTTTGAGGAGGTATTTCATGAAATAGGCCTACAGACATTTTTATTTAATACAAAATGAAGGTATGATTTTCCTTCTAAACCACACCGAGGGTTCTAATGATATGCTGATATTCATAGCCAATCGGGATACAAAAAATCCTGTAAACACGTCACACTAAAAGTTTCATCAAAGTCAGCACACAAAGAGTGTAAGTTCTCTTTTCTCCTTTGCACTGACCCATCTCACACTGGGTCAGAGTGCAAAAAGGTGCGATTATTTTAACCCACCAAAACAGGAAAAAAAAAAAAAACTCTAGAAGCCCCCTTGGCCTTCGATTCCTCGTTTATCAGACTGATTAGTGATAAATCATTGCTACAGTGGGTCAATAGACGCCGTTTGGTTGCCACAGACAGGCACTTAGGGCCTAATCATAAATTCCCTACTTATTACCGTGTCAGGACCCGACAGGAGGACAAAGAGGTGCTGGATCAGAGCTCACCTCTGAAGCAGTAAAACATCTGTCTGCTTTACAAGACTCGTACAGTTCGATTTGTGTTGGTTTTCTACTGATTTAGGACACATCAGGGCTCAGTTGGCTTCACATCTGACCTCCAGAACCTATAAAGCATGAAGTCAGCTGTAATTTAGCAAGAAGCTTCAAACTGTGCCACTTCAGAGTTGCAGACACTTGCTGTCAGCTGGAGATGACCCCAGTACAGAATCAATGTGTTAGAACCATAGACTGTGAATATTAAGGTAAGAACTCATCTTATCTCTCTAACATAATTGAAACCAGATAACACATTTAGACTATTTTGAACTACAAACTCTTTTTCTTTTGCTAGGATTGTTCCCCTTTAATACTCAACACCTGTTTTATCCCAGAAAACACACACTTTTTAATTTATACATAAATGTCACTCCACCTTAAGGTGACAGAACATCAAAACAGAGAGCTATCTTAAGTGTGAATATAGACTACAGCCATCAGTGTAACACATATAATAATACAATCTGCTTATCAGCCTCTGAGTGGTTAGGACACCCAGCTCCTGTTTGTTCTGCTGTAAACTATCTGAGAGTCTATTCTGAGCCGTGAAAATGAGGCAACATTAGGCTCCTTTCTCACACATACAGTTTTAAGGCTCCAATTACGGTCAAGTGCTTTCTTGTGCCTTCATGTGACCCAGGCTAGACAGGTCACCTGTAGGTGCTGCAACCATTGCACCTGTACCTCCTGTCAAGGATCCATTATGCCGGCCTCCCCTAAGCGGGGCTGAACAGCAGGGGAGACAGATGGGAGGAGGGTCAGGTTACCCCTGCTGCTGCTAGTGGTGCCAGGGTCAGGAAGCCCATGGTAACAGCACCATCATGTCTGCACACACACACAAACACACAAAACCCACAACCACTACTCTTCAAAATCTGAGGTTACACAATAAGCTGACATGATGTTGTTGCTGTTGAGGCAGAAAAACTACAAAGAAACGTAGAACTTCAAATTGATTTAATGAAATGTTTCAATTTTCACATTTCTAATAAAGATAGCAGGACTTCGGTCATTAAAAACAGTTTGATATGTTGACAGGTAATGGTGAAATCTTCAAGCTTTTTTTCCCCTCTTTCTCTTATACAAAGATTATATTACAGGCATTAATTAATATATTTCTATTCAGAGGTGGCTGAAGCCCTCAAATTTGACACAATGTACAAGGATTTCTAAAATGAGAAGAGAAGAAAAAAACATACTAGAACTAACACTAGCTCATTTTCTTCACGTATATAAGACACACAATCTTTATCTTGGTCCAAAACTAACATCTCCAGCAACTAAGCCACCAAAGGGGGAGCACAGACCCCTTCAACAGACATCATCTATAACCTACAATCTTTAGATCAGCATCCTACGAGGTTCCTTCAAGTGGCTTTGGGGAAAATTAAAAAAAACCATAGATGTGATCCAGGCTTAAATAGCTATACATTCTTCAAATAAACAAAAGCACAAGAAAAATAAAGATCTGTCAATACTCCTGCTGTTTGGATTCCCCATTTTCTGCTCCAGGAATGAACAAACAAAAGGAGGTGAGATAATGAGCTGGAATGACAGGAGAGCATGGGGAAAGTAAGGCATAGTCGTGCAACAGATGGGGATAGTGTTGCAGCTTGGGTGGAGCCCTCAGAGGGTGTGTGAGTGTGAGTGTGTGTGTGTGTGTGTGTGTGTGGGGAACACCTGGCTACCATGACAACATGAGCAGGCAGGTTGAAGAAGTGAGAGTGCCGGTCTGGTTGTTGCTAGGAAGGCCGTTGAGAGTTCAGCTCTGGCATGCCGTCTAAACCAACCACCCTCTCCCCCTGCAACCCCTACTGGAGGCCTCAGAAGGCGACATGGGAAAAGAGAGAATCATGGGAAAGAGGGGGGAGTTGGTGCCACTTGATTCCATTCACAGAAAAATACGGAGTAGCACACCACGTATAGTAAAGACTAAACAGCCGTTGCCACCATTCCAAATCCATCTGTTGTTGTTTTTCTTGTCGTGGGAAGCATGAGACGCAGATCATTAGAATCGCAGGGAGGAACAGTTTGTATTAGAGCGATTACAAGGAGATGAGATGCAGGGTGGCCATGATTATTCTCAGACAATGAAGAAGAGAAACTAAAATCAGATATATAGGGACTAGAGGTGGTGTGGGACAGCATCTTAGAGGACAGACATTTCACAGGCACTGTGAGAAAGAAGCTCCCTCAGGAACTCACACATACATACACACTCACACTCGACACACAAACACCAGTGCATGGACTTAAGATTCACCTGAGGCTCTGGCGGTATATTTCCTCTAAACAGCACATGAACACACACATAAAACAACTTGACAGCAAAATAATTCATCAAATAGTCCTTTCTATATACATCAACAAATAAAACTTAAAGCAATTTACATCCAGGAACAAAGAGAAAACATTCAATGGTAGTTAATCAATGACAGTGAGTGCAAAAACGTCGGTCGGAAACGTTGGAATGTCGATGTCTCGGATCCAAACGACAAGGAAACTGATAGCAGAGGAAAGAGACAGGAGGAACTTATTCAATTACCGGACTAGAGCCCATGTTAACGACATCAGAAAACAATTACAAACGCAGTTTTTTCTCATTCCAGCAATGTTGCATAAATCAAATCGTGACACAATCCATCGGAATTCATTTAAAAAGGAAATCTAGAGTTAAAAAAAGAAAAACAAGTTAGATAGACATCATTGATTGTCCACTCCTGGTTCAAAACAATTTAAAAGACTCTGGGTACATACTACATGGACACGCTGCACAGGAAGTCTATGTAGTAGTGCAGTGAGTACAAATCATTCTGGGGAGGTTTCCCCATGCATTAGATTTTATCCCCTCTTCACCGAAAGGAGATGATCCACAAACATTGTCCCAACTGGTGCTACCGAGCAGGGCATCATTATCCTGTCACTGACTGACTGGTATCTTTGACACAGAAAGATTGCGACAGGTGCAGAAGGAGGTAAAAAGGCAGACTCATTTATAAATGGATACCAATCTCATGTGCAGTTTTTGCATGATGCCATTCACAGCAGTGTCATTCAGTGCTTCCCCACATGAAGTGTTGAGATGTAGAAACAGGGTAAAGCAGTCCCCCCCCCCCTAGTAAGTAAGAACTTTATTCTCTAAGTGCATCGACACTGCACAAGAAAATAAAACACAAAAATGACATTTGCTTTAAGACTTCTCAGTACAGTCTTCCTATGCTGCAGATCATCAAGCTGAAACCACTAGATTGAACATAAATAGCTTAGTCACATGTCTATTCAGATTTAGTAGTCAAACACAATAAATGGAAATGTATCAACAATATCAATGATCGCCACTTAAATTAAAAATTGCAATATGCTCCAGTTGCATGTTTAACATGACACAAAATCAAACAAAGAGAAACGAGACACGGCAAACAAACAAACAAACAAACAAACAAACATAAAAAGACGACTCTTGCAGTCACGGCTGGGTGTGTGAGGTTCTTTCGAGAAAGATTAAAGGCTGCATTGAGGAAAAAGGGGGACGGATTGAAGAGCTCAGTTGGAGGATTTGCTAATAGCGCTGGCTGATCGGCGCAGTTTTCCCGAAACCCGGTTCTTTGTGGCACGGGGCATTGTGGGAGACACCTGGTCGACAGAGTCCGTCGTTCCTATGGTATTTCCAGCTTCGGTGCTCACGCTGCCGGTGAAGGAGCCTGGGGCAAGAAATGGGAGGGGAAATGTGTTTATAGAAAATAAAAAAACAATGCAGAGAAGGTCAGACATGATTGTGGCTTATCGGCCTTTGTGTGATGGCTGTTTATCCCAGCATGCTTTGTCATGCATATGCTTCTCCCAAAATCAAATAACCCACTTCATAGGATTTTCACCAACATTTGAGTATAAGGATTTGAGTTTTCCTCCTTTAATGATTAGAGTAAAAAGTGAAAATCAAACCATATGTTCAGAATGACATGCCTTATTCACATGCTGTAGGAAAGCAGAGTTTGGTCAAAGAGAAGCTACCTCTCCCACCCAACACATTTCTTAGATGCTTATAAAACATAAAAGTGAGTGGTAACCTTGTAGCTGAGGGCATTAAAAAGTATTCATTTTGTTGTGTGACAGCAGAATGCTTTGAATGAATATAGAATTACACATTATTTTCTTGTTGTGAACATGTGGAGCGTTCCCATTGTCGAATATTGTGCTTTTCAAAAACTTCCCATCCATGATTACGGGATCGCAAATAGTAATACGCTGGGAGGTGAGCATCAAATGCTGGCAAGGACAATCAAGGATTGTGAATGTGGCTCAGTGCGCCCTTGACCAGCCCCCTCCCCCCCTCACTCAATGCCTCTAGTTTAAACAACTTTTCTGCTTTGTCGAGGTGGCATCTGGTCGCCTATTTTCTTTCCTGTCCTTTTATTTCCTGCCATTTTTCTGAAGCATCTCAAGTTGCAGCGGCTAAAAGGAATGGCAGATGGCTGGAGTAACAGACACGCAGCAGCACAGTGGACACCGGCAGCATCCAGGGCCGCAGCTCGCAGGGAGAGGAGGGCTGGGCTATAGATGACACATTGGGGTGTGTATTGTGAAGGGCTTGAGGGGAGTCAAGGGGGTCCGAGCGCGTATTCTCAAATCTGCATATGAAAATAAAAAAGGGAAGAGCTAAAACGTGGGCTGGCCTTATGGACAGAAGAAATGCTGCATTCCCGTATTCCTCCACTCATTCCTTCAGTAGAGTTGTTGTTTTATAAACACTTGGCTTTTATCCACTCAAGCTACATGTGCTGTAAAGATTGAGGATAGAAAGGAAGAAGGCAACCACATATTAGAGCTAATATACACAAACAATCACGAGGTACTGTTCACCAGCTACTCAACAGACTTCCCTTTTCGTTTTACAGCCATTAAAACATGCTGCACTAAACAGCCGTCACTCCCACTGTGGCACGTAATGACTGTTGCTGAATCGGTTTCTATAAATGATGTTCTTCACCGTATGGGCTTGTGTGACAATAGTTTTCATAGTAAATTACTGAATGAAAAATAATGTCTTTATTATGTCATTATTTCCAAGCATGCCCTCTCCTTACTCAGCCCAAACCACGTTGGGCTCAGGTTAATTTAAAAAGAGGGAACAAAACAGGTAAAGACTAAGAAAAAATAAAAATAGAAGAGTCTTTAAATGGCCCTGCCATCCCATTGGCCCTCTCTGCAGCAGTTCAAACAAGGCTTACGATGACAAAGACGTCTTCCAGTGCGGCAGGTGTTAGTCTCAGTCTGCCCCAGGCAAACAGGCACACTCCAACAGGAGGAAATGAGAGGGGTGGAGGGGATGTAGGAGGGGGGGGGGGCAAAGAAAGAAAAGAAAAAAGTGTTTGCTGGGAGAAGAGATAAAGGCGCGCCACATGCAGAAGCGAGGGCCAGAAGTGTAGCCGTATTGTTCATGCTGATACTTAGTCAGGTGCTAATTGTCCCCTCCGTGCATCACTTTCAATTATTAGCAAGGCCTAAACAGTAGGACACCCCAAAATAAACAGCCTGGTTTCTCTTTTCCATTCCCTTTGTCAGAGCACTGAGTAAATAAAGCGAGGTTAGTGCTGTATGAAAAAAAGAGAGGTGGGGGATAACAGCCATGTTGTGTGAACGAGCGAGAGGTAGGTAGTCCGCTGGACGGAAACAAGCTTCCGGTTCTGACTCTTACCTTCGCCATTAACAGTATTTGGACCTTTAAGATATTTTTAATCTAAAAGGGAAAAACAGAGTAGAGTATCGTGTGAGAGACTAGTGGACATACACCATACCACACTGCAGCAGAACACAACACACCGCTGCTGAAAAGTCCAAAATTGGAGGGTTGGAGTGGAGAGACATTCAAACAGCTTGTGTGGCGTCCATGTTAGTTGTCACTGGAAGGTTAAAAGTCAGACAAGGTTAACTGATTTTGTTGGTGAGTAGATCAACAAGTTGCTTTTTTTTTTTTTTTTTCTGAAGATGACAATCTGTTCAATTCACAGATTTCAAAAAGTAAGTTTTTTGAAACCAAAGGTAGGAATGGTGGGTAGGTCACATGGCAACGACAGGCTGAGAAACATTTATCCCCAGTGTTACTGCAAGAGAGGGTTAAGGTGAGAGTCAAACATCCTGGGGTTCTCAAGGGTCATGGGAGCTTTCAAGTTGTTCTACCAATGAGATGGAAGTATTACTTTCTCATGCCCAGTAACTCATTTTGAAAAGTTAAAAAGGTTAACACAAAATGACAAAAAAAAAAAGAGCAAAGCAGTGGAGGTGTAACATACAAAGAGCAGGGCACTGTGGATGGATTCTTACGACAGATGGACAAGCTCATGCAGGAGGCCATGACTGGATGTGAGTGAAGTTGCATTCAGGGCTGCTTATGATACTGGCAAGCCAATATGGTAAGGAGTTGAACAATCAACAGGATAGAGCTGAGGTTATAAGCCTTACTGCTAAGTAGTGTTGCCCTCTACATTTACACAGTTACATGCAGACTGTTCATATAAATCTGAGGCTTGCGTTGCTTTTACAAAATGTCTATATGAAGTGCAGCCCTGAGCTGTTTGACTGAATAAATCGATGATGTTGGTGGGCTGTGGCTGGGAGTCATGCCTAATGTTGAGGAAGCAGGCAGAGTCTTACAGTCCAGTTTGGCCCAGGGGTACTCCATGTCCCAAACCATCCCCGGCCAACGCCTGCACGCTGTCATGGAGTATGGATGACATGTTAGTGGCAGCAATGAGAGCCAGAACAGGGTGAAATGGACAGACACATGGATGGACAAACTCTCATCCCCCACCCCCACCCCCTCCCCCCTCCCCCCTCCCCTCCTCCGCCTCCCAATGACACACACACACACACACACACACACACACACACACACTGGGTCAGTCACAGAGAGCATGGATGTGCAGTAGCACTTTGATGAAGGGTGAGAATGAGGAGCAGTGTCAGCCAACCATCATTGCACTGATGCTCCTGTGTACTTAAACTGGACATTTTGAATGAAGCATGCTAGATATATCATACATTGTTGCATTTTATGAAAACACATTGCACATGTAGTCTTGTAAATTACACAAATCATCGACAATAGTAATATTGTATGTTTTGTTGCTCTGTAATTGGAACAGTTTTGATGATGCTAGTTTGGGATCTTTATGAGGCGTATGACTGACATATTTACCTAGTTTTCACATTCAGTATTAAATATTTTTTCTTAAGAGCAAATTTCCAGATTAAACTATAATTTGAGAGTAAAAAAAGTGAACGTTACAGTGTTGGTTTATTTGTTTCTTTTTAGGTTTCTTATAATTCAGAGGGAACCCAAGTAGCCCTGGTTTTATGGCTGCAGAATAACAAATAAAGTGTTTATAAATGGACCAACAAACACATACAAGCGCAATAATCTGTTTATTATATAAACTGACTCTTGAAAATGCTGTTCAGGACAACTTTCTGCTACAGTTAGGGTGACACCTTACAAGCCACCCCACATCTGATGCTATGAAACATTATTCTTAAGCCTTGATACTGTAACGTCTCTGTCTAGTCTTAAAGGAACTCCTGGTTGAAATAGCCAACAACTTCAGCTACATTTTCTTTCTCTGTCATTTTCTTATAACAGCTCCTCAACCTATTTCTTTCATTAGTATTTCTCTTTAGGCTGGTTTGGTGCTGAGGCTGAGAGGAGGTGACTCGAGGTCAGTCAGGAGAGATTTTACACATGTGCAGGAGAGACAAGCTTTAACATGGTAATGTCTCTGACCATCTCTTGTCTTTAAAAGCCTGAGCTTCACACAGACACACACACACTTTAAAAAAGTCAGACATGTATTTTGCACATGCCATCATACATGATGAAATAATAAAGAACCCTTAAAGGATGTATGCACTAACAGATTTGAAAATGACACAATGGTGTGGTTTTGAGGAGTGCTTTCCATGTCAAAACAGAGTGTGTGTCGGGATCCGATAGAGTGGAAAAGTGCAATCCTGTATTGATTTCAGTGCTGTTGCAGATCGATCAGAGCTGCTACAAGTAGGAAGAACAAGATAAGACACGTTTTCCATTCTATTCATCATGGACTGATAAGAGTGCTGTGCTGACATCCGTATGCTGCTGTTTGTCAGTGGGGTCTCTTAAGTGTTGTTGAATGAGCTCATGGAGACACGCACACGAGTGTACACACACAGACACAAATGCACTCTGTAAAGTCATTTAACAGGGCTGCTCATATTCATAGAAAAGTAATTGCATGGAAAGATGCAGTTTGAAACAAGAGATGAACAAAGTAGCGTGAGTGGGGTTTGAGGAAGTGGAAGAAGCAGTGTGTTTGAAGTCAGTCAGATAATGTTAAGCGCCGGGCCCCTCGTTTGATATTCAACAGTGAGCGTAGGCGTAGAAGAACAGTGGAGGGAATGAAGAGGAGAGGAGGCAAGGGGTACAAACAGGTGTGTTGGTTATTAAGGAGGAGGAGGTAAGAAAAGATGACCAAGGAGGGCAAAAGAGGGCATGGGAGAGAAATGCTTACATGTGAGCAACAGAGAAAAGGAGAGAAAGAAAAGAGGTTAAAGTGATGGAAGAGAAATGACATTAAGGATGATAGAGGTGCAGTGTAGTTCATTTCTCACCTGTTCCACTCATTGGATAGCCAGGAGAGGGGGAGAAGACCTGTGAGGCGAAGTCTTCAAAGGTCATGACCTCTCTATGGTTCTGAACAATGGCCTCCAAGTAGAGTGCTCGCTCCTCATAGCTGGAAAGCTCTTGTTAAGAAAAAAATGGCATGTTGGAGAAACAAAACATGGCAGGACAATTTGTAACCTTTTGTGTGCTTACACTCAATAATGGCACAATGTGTCAGTTAGGACCAAATGACTGCAACAGTTAAAAATCCAATTTTTTTCAGAGCTGCACTACGTATACATGCATGTTGAGAGTGAGCTGAGAGCAAGAGAGCTTTGGCAGGCTGGGTAGCTCCATCATCAGCGACCCAGCCAGAAGCAGAGATGGAACAATCAGCCATGCCACACATCCCCAAATGAGAAAGCAGTCTCCAAAATAATCATAAAAAAGAGAGAAAGAATACATGACTACTGGCGTGTTGCTCCAAACCTCTCCTGTCCTCCCCTCTCAGCCCTCTCTTCTCTCTAATAGAACCCCTGCTGCAGGCAGCATGTCTAGGACCACCCTCCCCGATGTGCTGCCTGCCACTTCTCCGTGCCATCAGGGGGAAAATTGGAGCCATTTGAAATTCAGAGTGACAAGCAGCGACTGGAGCCTGGGCAGCCAGCATGCAGGATGGATGTCCGGATTTGAAATGGGAAGGCTTAAATAATTAAATATATAAACAAACCTGTAAAATGGCGGTCGGGTGATGGTAGAGAACATTTTGATGGCAATTATCACGTCATTACCAGAAATATATGGTGCAAAGTCTGTTGTGGAATGTAGACAGAAGCTGGATGAAATATGGGGCAGGAAAAAATTGGGGTGAAAGGGTTTATGTAATGGCATAATGATACAAAGCTCCTGTGAGATTAACTGTATGTGTGTATGTATGACAATGAGCCCGATTATTCAAACAACTATCTGTTGTGGCCATTTTTCTTGATAGACAACAGCCAACACATTGCTAGACAAACAAGTATTGTCACTTTTACACAGACAACTCTAGTCTCTCAGCACAGAGGCCCCCCTCCCCCATATCTCATTATGACTGCCAGGGTGGAGTGGCACTGGTCTGCTGCTGAGGCCAAGGCTGAACCAGGCTGAGCTCAGATAGGCTGGACTGGGCCGAGAGGCTCCGGTCTGGGTTAGATAGATAGGACGAGACAGTGACTGGGCAGGGGGCCTGCAGTGGGCACATGCCGCCACAGCGGGGGCCAAGGCAGCCATGACCAATGGCTTTGAGGGAACCGTGGCAAAGCTGGGGTGACGGGCACCTGAGCCGGGAGGCACTAGGGGGTTCCATGGCCAAGCTGCTCACAGGGACAGACGGAGATGGTCAGAGAGCAGAATAAGACAAAGGAAAACGTAATAAAGGAAGATACGAAGTAAGCTGGACTAAATGGAAGTGAGTTTCTGTTCCAATGTTATTAATGTACCAATGTTATCAAAATACTAGTAAATGTAGCTGAATGTGTGGCTCAGACAGAAATAGCTGACTACTGTGTAAAAAAAACTGCGGGACTTTTTAATTATTTTTTTTTAGCATTTTGATGCTAAATACAAGTATTGAATGAAAAAAATAAAGTAAAAGCTCATATTCACAATCTTGAGAAGGAAAAAACATATGACCAAAACTGTATAAAACCCTGTTAATCACATAATTGTATTTAACTAACTAACTAACTAACTAACCGCTCTCTAAAGGGCAAACATCTCCATCAGAGAGATACAGAGTAGTATGACTTGAGGGAAAAATCAGCACTTTCTTCCCCAGTTCTATATCTGCCTTCCAGTCATAGCTGGGTATGCAACGTCACTGTTTTCTGTCACTTGCTCGAAACAGTATTGGACAAAGAGTGGGCATCCTAGTCTCTGCTGCCATGGAAACTTGGGTCACATCTCTGTGTGGTGGGTCATATCCAGGCTTTTATGGATGACAGACAGAGAGAAGGGATGTTTGTAAAAGAACAAAATGTGCCCAAATAGGTAATAAGTAGAAGACAAAATAAATTAAATGGAAGGACTTAATGAAAAGAAATGAGAGACGTTAAAAGAAAACTGACAAATAAAGACAAAGAACGAGGAGAGAGAAAGAGAACCTCGGCACAGCGTGGGTCAACAGAGCCATATGGCTGTCCATTATCAGAGATGCAGATGACTGGAGGCCTGTTATTGAGATTCCTAAAGCAAATATTGACTCCAGCTGGAGCAGACGCTCTCTCTGACTCTGACACACGCCTCTCCTCCACTACTTCCTTCCGCTGCCCTCTATCCAAGTAAGACAAATGGATTAGAGTGGGTGAGAAAAAAAAACTTCAAAAAATAAAATGAAGGGAGATGGTTTAGAATTATCGAGATGAGGGAAAACATACGACAGCCTGCCAGAGAGAAAGACAGGCAGCGAGGAAGGTAGACTAATAAAAGGTATTTTGGAGATGAGTGAAAGCGAGAGCCATAATCAGCTCACTTAAGTAAATGTACGATGCTATCTGTGGGTAAAAAAATTGCTGCACAGAGATCAGACCTGATGCACAGTGAGGGGTAATCTTGTATTTTCTATCCCTCACACACTCCCTCATCTTCCTCTTTTTCTCTAATTACTAAGCCATGGGCACAGCTTGTTCCCTTGCATATGCACAGATGCTGCCTCCATGCAGTAACTTAATCAAGGGACATGTCGACATAAGTGACGCAAAGACCATGTCCATGTCATGGACACCAAACCTGCTGACACTGACCTACTTTTGTGAAAAATAAACGGCAGCTTCTGCTTCTGACAGGTGCTTCAGTGTTTGTTTCTTGGTCAAGCTTTCATTAGAGATCAACACAAAATACAAATGGTTAAAATACAAATATTGTGTGTTCTAAAATTATTTCTGGTGAACTCCCTTACTGTGTTGAATAAAGCGTCACTGTATTCAGAGATATGAACAATTCTCATAAAGCTTGTGATGGATATATGAAAAGAAAAATGCAGGCAGGTCTACATTTCCACAGATGGAAAGCAACTTAAGTCACCCATGACATAACTGTAATTTACAGCTAAACTGGGTAGACATGCAAGACAAGCCGGTGTGTGGGAGGAGAGTGTTTTGCACCACTTTGGGAATTTCCAAGGAACCCCTATGTTCCACACTGCTGACTTCTTATTAGAGAGAAGAGAGAGAAATAAATGCAATATCTAAGGAGCATGGCAACCACTGCGGTTCTAATGAGGAAAGAAATGTCAGTGAGCGAGTTGATGTAAAATAAGTTTAGTCAGTATGACTGTAGAGACATTTAGGTTGTGGTTAGGGAGGTAGGGAGGAGAAAAAAATCTCAGATCCAGACTATTAACTACAACATTTACACATTTGGGCTAATGTTTTTTAAATGGATAACAGCCTGTTCCTTGCTTGCCCTCTCCCTCTTCTGTCACAAGTGAAGACAAAGAAAGGGACTTGTGGTTGGCATGTGGTGTGTGAGTAGTTAGCTTATCCAAAACACATACAGTACAGTAGTCAACAATTTTACAGGTCAATTATGCTGCTAACTTGCCAAAACAAAACAATGCTGTATGTTGCTGAACAAACATCACAAGACAGAATAAAACAGCATATGTGTGTATGTTATGAGTCAGCCTGCGTGTACATGCATATGTATCTGTGCATGTATGTATACATATGCATGCCTGCTGTCCAGATGGCGGGGGGGGGGGGTGTAGTACTTTTGGGGAATGGTGGGGTCAAGCATCTTTATGGATCAAAGCCAAGGTCAGGGCAGCTGCAGTGGCCCATGTTCAAGGTGAATGGAGGCCTCAGATGGCTCTTCATTAGCAGGCTGCTCAATCCCTGCTGGACCCCATCGGCCAACCACCACCAACCCTCATCATCATCTCTCTCCCTTCTTCTCTCCGTCCACAGGGACCCGCCTGTCCACTGGGATCCATTTTGAGCCTTGCATAACCCCACCCACAATCTAGACACATACACATGCTCACACATTGGTGTTTACACACACACACACACACACACACACACACACACACACACACACACACACACACACACACACACACACACACACACACACACACACACACACACACACACACACACACACACACACACACACACACACACACACACACACACACACACACACACACACACACACCATTCCTTAAAAGAGCTTTTGTTGACCTTTGAACTGGTGTCTCTCTAGAGAGCAGCATCCATACCATCCAGCAATCGTCTTTGTGCTTCTCAGTGTCCCTGCTGACAAAGGGCCTCACGCCATCACTGGCCTCTGACACACTCCACATCTTTAAACACACACACACAGGAGATAGGGACATTTCATGACTTCCGTCAATCCACCTTAAGATAAAGGCACTTAGTGTAATGGGAAATATGCAAACCTGTTAAACTCAATTAATATGATAACAAAGGTTTAGTAAAGATTGACCTCATTTAACTCTTTGCAAGATAACTATCTTCTGCTATAGTTAGGAAAGAAACGTTTCCTATTTGTCAATCCAATGTCCCACACTTCTAACGTAAAATCCAACAGGGATATTCAAGAGCTTCAGTTAGACCAGTGCTGTGTTAAGACATAGAATAGATTCTTAAAAAGGTTCTTATTAAAATAGTTTAAGAACCACATGACCCCTGTGTGACAAGCCATCTGGAGTTTACCAAATGGAAATCCAAGGATTCAAGGAGCAACACTGGAAACCTCAAACAGTGAATTGCATTGGTTGTAGTATCATGTAATATGCATGGTTTGAGCAACAGGGACTGGAAGGCTTCAAACCAAAATGTTAAGGCAAGAACCTGTTTGATGCATTATTATTACAAAATAAGAATATACTGAGACATATTCTTAGTAATCTTAACCTTCCTTAAGTAACTATTGCACAAATAAAGAACTAAATATACAGACAGAAAGAGACCCAGAGACTCTCACACACATGGATAATCTGTTGATTATCTGTTGAAGGCAGGGCAGAGGGTGAAGGTCTAGATTATGCAAAGGAGCATTAGTAGGGGTCTTGAGAAGCTCCATACTGACATTTCACTACTTAATCTCCATTCTGTCCACTTC